CCAATGTAACAAGCCAGAAACTTAAACCACATGATTTCATATTGCAAACTACAACTAACCTTTAAGAAACTACCACCTATGACATTTAGGTGGATTATCAAAGAATAGCCACAATTACCTGAAAAAGCTACTAAAATACACCCTCTTTCCCAATTATGTAGCTGTGCAGGCTGGACTCCCTTCATATATTTCATTGGAGTAAGTATCACATTGCAATGAAATGAACTCAGAGAAGGGATATGGGAATCAGCTGTTTTTTAAACCAGACATTTAAAGATTCTTGCAAAAGTGTAAAACACTTTATCAAAACCCCAGTTGCTTTTATTCGTAGAAACTGATGGAAATGCAAGGGACTCAGAAGAGCCAAAACAATCTTGAAAAAGAATAACTCACTCATCCCTGTTTTGAAACTTACTATTATACAACACTATAGTAATCAAGACAGTGTGATACTGGCATATGGACACACATATAGATCAGAGGAATAGAGCCCAGAAATAAATTTCCCCTCACATTTCTGGTCATTCAGTTTTTGACAAAGACGTCAAGACAATTCAATGAGGGAAGAATAATCTTTTTTAAAAAGGGGGGCTAAAAAAAGGGGGTTTTGGAACAACTTGATGCCCACATGCAAAAGAATGAAGTTGTACCTCTACTTCCTATCATGCAAAAATTAACTCTTAATATATCATAAACTCAAATGTAAGCTAAAATATAAAACACTGAGGAGAAACCACAGTATTTAAGTCCACCCAGCCCTGGATAAAGCTTCACAGGAAGCAAAAAGTTTCCATCCACAGAATGAAAATTATTTGCAAATCATGTATGATACCACTGTTCCATAAAGATGGCTAGAATAAAAACAACAGACAATAACAAGTGTTGGTGAGGATGTGGAGAAACTGAAAGCAATGTCAGTTGTTGATGGGAATATAAAAATGGCACAGCTGATTTGGAAAACAATTTAGACAGTTCCTCAAAATGTTAAACATAAAGTTACTCTATGTTCCAAAAATTCCACTCCCAGAAATATACCCAAGATAAATAAAAACATACACTTCAACACTTAAGATAAAAATGTGTACAGGAATGTTCATAACAACATTATTCATAATAGCCAAAATGAAGAACAACTTACGTGTCCATCAGTTGACAAATATAGAAATAAAATGTGTTATATTCAAACAATGGAATATTATTTGGTAATAAAAAAGTAAATTCATAGAAACAGAAAGTGGATGCCAAGGGCTGAGGGGAAGGGAGGATAGGGAGTGACTGCTAATGGGCAGAGTTTCTTTCTGGGGTGATGAGGGTAAGTATGGATAAGTATATCCTACATGGACATTTAGTAACATTCAGCAATGAAAGTGATAACCACAAATGCAAACTCTGGTTATTCTCTTGTACAGAAGATTGAATGATTTAAAAAAAAAGTTAACAGCCAGCGTGGCTCCGTGGTTGAGTGTTGACCTATGAACCAGGAGGTCATGCTAGATGCCAGGTCAAACAGGGCACCTGCCCAGATTGTGGGTCGCATGCAGGAGGCAGCCGATCAATGATTTTTTTCTCATCATTGATGTTTCTATCTCTCTCCCTCTCTGAAATCAATATATTTTAAAGTATATTCTCATTTGTGGACCCCCCCCCCCCCCGCAACACACACATTTTAAAGTATAACCCTAGCTGGTTTGACTCAGTGGACAGTGTTGGGCCTGTGGACTGAAGGGTCCTGAGCTCAATTCCAGTCAAGGGCACATATCTTGGTTGCAGGCTCAGGTCACCTGCAGGAGGCAACCAATGGATGTGTTTCTCTCACATTGATATTTTTCCCCCTCTCTAAAATCAATGGAAAAACCTCCTCGGGTGAGGATTTTAAAAAAAAGTATAAAAATAATTTCAAGCTTCAATGCAAGGTGACCACTGCAGGACTACCAACCCCCACACACAACCTCAAAATGTTAGTAAGCACTTGAACATACAATTTCACATACTAACAGATTTTATACATGTTTTACCTTAAAATATTTCAGTGAAATGTGTCCAAAAGGGATAATTTAAAAACAGACAGTAAAACAGAAGACAATTGGCTTGTATTCTATTTGGAACAAAGCTGATGCTATCTTTTCTTGTGAAGTATACAAATCAAAGAAAGCATCTTCGCTACTACATAAAACATCTGAGAAGGTAAAAGTGAAGTTACTTTTTGCTAAATTGCCTTTTATAAAACAGAGTGGTTTCATTTTCTCTCATGATTGTTCACACTCCTGGGATCCCCTCTGGTTAACCTCAGAGGCTTACATATGGCAAACCACTTTTGGATTATGCTCTGATGGTAAACTAGATTATCAAAGCCTCTCTAGAAAATTCCAGTGAAAGATGCACCAGATTTTATTTGAGATAGTCACCTGACACTACAACTTTTACTTGATTGAGTTGAGTTACCTCCTACCCTGGGACTACTGTTTGCATCAGAAACAATGGGTGTAAGGGAGCCGGGACACTGGTGACTGCTGGACAATGAATACAGAGCGCTCCCTGAAAGCCAGCCTGCGTTATAGGTGACGTGTCCTTAACGCTTAGCATTGTAAACAACAGGATAAGTACTTCAGGGGGAAGAAGAGTCGTATAAATTATCTGAGAACTGTCTTTTCCTTATTGATGATTTCATCAGTGTTTAAAAGTTGTAACATTTAGTAGTTTTATCTAAAGGCAAAATTTAAAAATTAAGTCTGTGGCATGGTAAGTATTCACTAGTCAAAATGGCTTAAGATTTTTAATCAAGAGAACATTCTGAGAAAAGTATGGTTTCTAGTTGTGCCTTTTTCTACCACTTTACCCCATCAAAATGACACAACAGCTTAACAATACAAAACAACACAATTTAGAAACCCAATACTCCAATTTCTCTAGTACAGCACCATCTGTAAGCAGACATGCCAGTAAACTCTTGGGAGTCTAAATACTGAATCATTTCCCCAAGAGTGGCTAGTAGGTGGAATCAGGGACTTACTTCCTTTTTGATGCCGGCAAACAAAACAGAAGACCCCACAAACCAGAAAATGTCCTGGTTCATAACAAAGGTCAAGAGCTCAAAAATCAAATACAAAGATTGGGAATAACTTAACCTCTCCAAAATACCTTTACTTCACTCATCACTATCCTTGAAAGTAAATACGGAGAAAACGGAAGAGGTTACTATATTGAGGGCATAGAAAATAGGGACTAGAACTTAATCTGTGTCCCATGGGAGGCTACTTAGAAGAGTATTTAACAAACAGAAGCTCACACTAAATGTCTTGAAGTGACCTGTCACATCTGGGTATTTAGGAGGGGGATGACTAGAAGGAAGACAAAACAGAAGAATTTCAATTGAACATAAGGAACTTCTTCAGTAAAAATGATAAAACAGGCTTGCTTACTGATAAAACCCCAGAATCACCTCAAGAATTTCAAGGGGAAGCAAGTCTGGATCTTTGGGGCATCTTTTGAGTTAAATCAGGTAGGCCAGGTACACGTCACCCGTAACCTGATTATTCAGACTGCTAGTGGGCACTGCTTGTGTGCTTAGATAGGGCTCACACAGAGCCAGGCTATGCCACAGTCCCGTTCTTCAAAATGCAGTGGAGGAAACAGTACAGATAAGCAAGGGCTGGTGATTCCCGCTGCCAATAAAGGCTGAAAGGCGGGTTCCATATGGGCATTTGGGGACTGCTAACCACCCTAAAAGCCTCACTTGGACGCATGGTACTTCCGGCGGCAGCTGTGAGGGCTGTCACTTATCTCCCCCACATATGCTATGACCCGGCACTGCACCTTACAAGAGGGGTCCCTATGACTCTTGGAACCTCCTATCTCCACACAAGTGCCTTTGGTCCCTCGCCGGCACTCGGAGGAAGCATGACAAAAGGATGAGTAAGCAAGCTGCAGCTCATCTTGGTCAAAGAGCACAGACCCTGGCACGGGCGGTGGAAAATGGGGGTGGGGGTGGGGAAGCAGAACAGAAAGTGGAGTCGGGGAGCTCTTCCAAGGAACTGTAGGCAGCTACACGCTTTCCTATGGCAGCGGTTACCTCCTCCTGCGACCACCGCTGATTCCAAACCCTCGCCTTCACCACTAGGGTCAAGTGCACATTTTCCGTAGACAGTTACTTCTTAAAAACAACACGAAAACATAAAAATTCTCCAGCCTTCTGCTTGTCAAAGACAATAAATAAGGCCGCACCTGAAACACGGTTAAGTTCAACGGTTCTGCTTTCTTTCTCTCTCTCTTTTTATTTTTATTTTTGGAATCCTGTCCACCCCGCACCCCATCACAGATCAACCCGGATCGGCCAAGAGGCGACTGCCAGTAAGTTTCAAATCCATGTCAACCTCTTGGGGGGAAACAACAACAACAAACTTCTGAATTACTTCAACAGCATGGTTGCAAGTACCTGACCTTATTTTTCTCAGAAGGAAAATAGGCCACGGAGACCAGACATTTGTCTGTCCCGGCCCTGCCGCTCCGCAGCACACGCGGGGCTTCCGCCGCCTTTAGGGCTCTTCGGCAGGAAACTTGCCCTCGGCAGCTAAACGTCCCCGGTTTTCTCTAGAATGCGAACTTCAACGCAGACAGAAAACCCGAGGTGCCGTTTCCTTTGTTAAAACCCCACGGACTCGATTCACTTTGGGCGGAGAGGCTGCCAGCAGCGACCACGACCGCGCGCGCCGCGGAGAGGAGGGGAGACAGGTGCGGCTCCCGCCCCGGCGGCCCGGGCCCCTCCGGCGCCACCCCGGCCTCGGCCGAACCCAACTCCCCGCCGTCCGCGGCCTCCCCGACTCGCCCTCCGCGCGCCCCGCCGCCTCCGTTCCAAACGGCTATGGCGGCGGCGGGCGGCTGGTTACGAAACGCGCGGCCGCCACATGGCCGTGCCAGCCCCAAACTTGGCGGGGCCCGCCGAGCCCCGGCGCCCAGGCGAGGCCGGGCCGCGCGCTAGGAGGCCGCGCGGCGCCGCCACTCACCCACAGACCGGTAGCCCAGGATCGCGATCTTCCGGGACTTGGACTGCGGCATCTTGGCGGCCTCCTCAGCCCCGGGCCAACCACATGAACCGCGGCGGCGGCGGCGGCGGCGACTCCTGTGCTGCGATCGGCGGCGGCCGCGCCGGGGCAGAGCGGCATCCAGGGGCGGGGCGGGCGGGCGCGGCTGCCTCCGCTCCTCGCTCGCGCGCCCAACCGCCCGGAACCGCCGCGCGGCCCCGCCCCCAAACACGCCCACGTGACCCTCGCCGCCGCCCGCCGTCGTCCGCGTCAGCCTCGCGCCGCCGGCTGCGTTGGCCGCCCCCGCCCCCGAGACGCACGGAGATGGGTCGGACGACGTTTTACTTTAAAGGGGAAGAGCAGGGGCGCTGAGACGCCTCGGGAAAAGTCACGACTGAAACTCGCTGCGTCATGACCCTCCCACCGTCTTCCGCCGATGTTTAATTACGCCAGTCCTCCCGGAGCCCTGATTGGGCCGCTCCCGTCCGCCCGCGCGATGACGCGACGGAAACTCCGTCTCCCATTGGGGGCGGCGGAGCGGCAGCCTCAGGGCGGGGCCGCTCTAACGAAACCTAAAAATAAGCCGGGCGGCGGCCGCGCGTCGGGGCGCCAGCGAGGTTTGAAGGCTTTGAAGATCGCAGGGTGTGGGGGTTTGGTGGGGGGTCGGGGGCGGGGAGGAAGACGCTAGCTTCTCAGTGATTGGTTAAGAACAAGGTGAGGGGCGGGGTGAGCTGTGGGAGGCACGATCATTGGTGGAACGCGGAGAGAGCGGCGGTCTGGCTCCCGCTGAGCCCTTAGAAGGCGCGAGACGCCGGGCGCGTGGCTGTTACCTGCGGGCCTCCGGATTTGCCGGGGTTCCCTTTTTTAGCCCCTTCTCTGGGTTGGTGTTAGTGAGTCTGGATTTGATGAAGTATTTGGTGGTTAAACGTAATTGGCTGGTGATGGGAACGGTAAAGTAAAATAAAAGACACCCGCAGTGAAGGACGGTGGGAAGAATAAAATGTGTTAATTCAAAATGTTTTGCAGTTCATTCAGAAAGTTTGCACGTCATCAGTTCTGATTACTACTCTGCGACATGCGGACCCCACAAACCTCACAGATCAACACCTTTAATTTTCAACACTCGCGTGGCTAATTTAGTAGACAAACTGAGTGGTCTGAGCATCATCCTATGGTCCCATGGACCGGGAGGTTCAGGTTCGATTCCCAGTCGGGACACGTGCCCAGGTTGCGGGTTCAGTCCCCAATAGGGGGCGTGCAGAAGGTTCTCATCATTGATGTTTCTCTCCCCCCCCCCTTTCTTTCTGAAATTAATTAAAACAAAACAAAACAAAACACCCCGTCCTTTTAGAGGGGATCTAATCTGTTGGGCTCGAGATCTCGTGTGGGCTGACCTCTTCAGACGCTGCTCTATTTCCCACAGAAGGCGCCTGACAGCCCCTTTTACCCCGGTGCCGGCAGAGAGCTGCTGGGTGGCACCATACTGAATGCGGGAAGGGATGCCAGCTTGGGAGGCCTTGGTCATGGGAAATGAAAGGGAAAGCGAGGCCTGACAAATAAAGCGATCAGGTTTCCAGCTAGGGAGACTTCTCTCCTGGTATAGACACACTTTGCCCTTGGTTGGTGTTACAAAAAAGAAGATACCCCGCTACTCCTATGAATGTTCTGCTGTCATGGTCTGTTAAACAGTGTTGACCTGCTTAGCCGGACAACCGCTTGCTGGTGGCGGCCCATGGCCTTTCCCATGAGCACAGGGAAGGGACCCTCAGGAAGCTGAACCACAAGATTGCATTCGTTGCTATGGGGAATTAGAGGTGACTGTCCCTCTAATGGATATGCCTTATGAATTAGAACACCGGTGTTAAGGCAGAATCCTTTCCATGCTCAGCTCTTGTACTCCTAGGAGAGGGCGGTGGACTTATTTCCAGGGTCTATAGATTGAAGCCCCAGGCAACCAGCTGCAACTGAAAAAATCTTTGAAGGTCTGTGCTTTAACTTAAGGGATTGTGATTCTACTCTATAATTCGTTGGACTCTCCAAGAAAATGTATCACTTTTATTTTGGGGGTTTGGGTGCCCCCCACCACAGTATTTTGAACTGATGGAAGGGGGTTGTGACATCAGCTTAATGGATGTCACCTTTAAAAAAGAAGATAGAAGAGAATAAGAAAATAGTAAGGGAAAGTATTATCTCATGGCATTTTTGCTCATAGTAAGGGTAAGTATGGTCTCATGACATTTTGTGTGTGTGTTAGATCATTATAGGTATGCTATATACATATATGTCGTGTACTGAGTTCCATTGTAAAATGTATTTCTTACTGTGGTTGCCTCGGCAAGTTTGAAAGCACTGCCCTAATCTGGGAATATTAGAAGTCCAGATGGAGAAATGCAGTTGTAAAGGACAAATTCATTCAAGAACTGTTCCAACGGTCTTAAAGTCCTTTAAAGTCTGTCAGGCCCAGGAGTCTTGAAGATTTTTTTATTCCAGAGTGGGGGGAATTTGGTTTAATAAGTAATTCAGATCATCCTATATAATAGAGAGGGATATGCAAATTGTCCGTCACACCGTAACAAGATGACTGTGCCCATAGCTATTTCCTTTGAGCACAGGGAAGGGACCCTCAGGAAGCTGAGCCACAGGATTGGATTCGTTGTTATGGGGGATTAGAGGTGACATAGACGCCGAGTTCCCATAACAAACAATAAGCAGGACCTGAGGCCAGGCAACCTAAGGCCTTACCCCCCCCTCTGTGGAGCTTGATGAGGGTGGGGCCTGCGGGGTCTGGATCTAGCCCAGTGGGGGTGGGGCCAGCTGGGTCTGTGTCTCCAGTGATATCAAGGGGCATGTGCGTGGGTGGGGACTTGACTCTGTTTCCCATGGAGCACCCCAGACTCTCACAGGAGGAAGATTTTCCTATACATTTTACTAATTTTCTTTCATCTCTGACACTTCTATTATAGAGAAAGGGAAAATAGCAATATTAAAATATTTCCTCTAATTAATTCCCTTTTAATTTGCATGAATGTCATGCACCGGGCCACTAGTCTAAAATAATTGAGATTAATGGTATGAATTCACATAGAAATAACTGACTGCAGCCACACATTTTAGGAACACGGTGGGAGAAATGGACTTGCTTCTAAATTCAAAGTCCTTCTCCTGATTGAGATCACTTGTTAACCTTTAAGCAAATCCTAGCCATCATACTATTTCATTCATAAATATTTCAATATTTTCTCTGAAAGATGATGCTTTTAAAAAAATCTAACATGCCATTTTTATATCATAAACAAGACCACTGAAAGGCTCCTCAACACCACCCAGACTATTCAAATGTCTCTAATGCTTCATAATTATTTTAAGTTTGTTCAAATCAGAACCCAAATAAAATCCATATATGAATTGATTTCTCTATCTCTTGTCTTTTACTTTTTAAACATTTTTAGAACTGTTTCAGATGTACCAAAACATGGTGAGGACAGTGTAGTGGTTCCTACATCCTGCACCCAGTTTCCCCTTGTTAACATCTTACAGCATTGTGGTCCATTTGTCAGAATTAACAAATATTGATACATTATTGTTATTATTTTGGTTAATTCTCACCTGAGGATATTTTCCCATTTGTTTTTAGAAAGAGTGGAGGAGGATTGGGGGGCAGGGAGAGAGACAGAGTGAAACATCAATGTGACCAGGGCCAGGGATCGAGCCTGCCACCTTGACCGGAATCGAACCCAGGACCCTTTTGTCCACAGGCCACTGCTCTATCCACTGAGCAAAACCAGGTAGGGTTGATACATTATTATTCACCAAAGCTTATATTTCCTTGGTTGTTCACTGCTGTCCTTTTTCTGTTCCAGAATTACCACTTTACATTTAGTCACAGGCTTTTCCTGGGTGTAATCATTTCTCAGTTTTCTTGTTTTTGGTGACTCTGCCGTTTTGAGGAGTGCGGGTAGGTGTTTTATAGATTGCTCCTAAAGAGGATTCGCCTGAAGCTGTTCTCAGGTGTAGTGTGGGAGTGTGGGTCTCCGAGAGGAAGATCACAGAAGCAAAGCGCTGTTCTGGTCACATCCTGCTGAGGGAATGGATTCCCAGCGTGCTTTGTCCCTGTTAGTGTTGACTTGATCACCTGCTCAGGGAGCGTTTGTCAGACTCCTCCACTGGGAAGTCACTCCCTCCCTTTCCACACGGCTCTCTTCAGAAGGAAGTCAGTGGTGCCGCCCTTGCAGCCTGCCAGGCTGAGCTAGACTAGTTCCTTCTGCAGAAGAACTTCCTGAAGTCTCCTGGCAACACATTTACAATTGATGTATTTGACAATTGTCTTTATGTCTCCACTTTTATTTCGGAATAATTATAGATTAGCAGGTACTTCAAGAAATAATACATCTTAACTGTATTTAGTTAAGATGTCCTGTTCTCTGTATGGTGACATCTTAACTAAATACAGTACAGTACCAAAACTGAGAGACTGAAAGTGGTACAACCCACAGAACTTGTTCAGATTTACATGCATTCGTGTGTGTGTGTGTGTGTGTGTGTGTGTGTAACTCTGTTCAATTTTATAACATGTGATTTGTGTAACCAAAACTACATAACTGTTCCATCACCAAAAAGATATCCCTCATGTTACCTTTTTATTTTTCATTTTTGAAAAGTTTTTGGCTGGGTATAGAATTTTAGGTAGACAGTGATGTGTGTGTATGTATGTGTGCATGTTTGTCCCTAAAAATGTTCCATTTTCTCCTGGCCTCAATTTTTTTCTGATGAGAAACCAGCTATCATGTTTTTTATGTAATATATTCATTCCCTGCCCTGTCTGCTTTTTCTTTTTATATTTGGTGTCCAGAGTTTGACTATGATGTGTTTGTAAATTTCTTGGCTTTTATGCTGTTTAAGATTTACTAACACTTTTTGATTTTTGATCCAATTTGGGAAACTCCCCAACCAATATTTCTGTATTTTTTTTCTGCCCCATATTCTTTCTCCACTCATTCTGGGACCCCAATTTCACATATACCGGACAGATTGATAGCTTTCTACCAAAAGAGCCCTTATTCTTGTCTGTTCTCCCCTTCCTAGTTTAATGATTTTTAAAAATATGGGTAACGAAGAAAAAAAAAATCCGGGTAACATATTTTTTTAGTTCTAGAGTTTCTATTTGGTTTTTTTTTTTTTTTTTTTTTTTTTTTTTTTTTATATATATATAGTTTCCATCTCTCTCCTGAAATTCTCCCAACATACCCAGGTTTTTTTCTAGGTACTTTAACATTAAAAAAATTTCTTTATTGTAGAAAGTATTACATATATCTCCCTTTCCCCCCACTGACCTCTTCCTACCCGCTCAGGCCCTCATCCCCATTGTCTGTGTCCATTGATCATGCTTATCTGCATGCATACATATAGGGTGTCCCCAAAAATGTCTTTTGGTTGATCTCTTAACACTCCTCTCCCACCCTCCTCTACCTTCCCTCTGAGGTTTGAAGATATGTTCAATGCTTCTATGTCTCTGGGTTTATTTTTATCAGTTTATGTTGTTCATTATATTCCACAAATGTGTGAGATCATGTGATACTCATCTTTCTCAGACTGGCTTATTTCACTTAGCATAATGCTCTCCATGTCCATCCATGCTATTGGGAATGGTAAGAGTTCTTTCTTTTTTATAGCAGCGTAGTATTCCATTGTGTAGATGTACCATAGTTTTCTAATCCACTCATCTGCTGATGAGCACTTTGGCTGATTCCAAACTTTAGCTATTGTAAATTGTGCTGCTATGAACATAGGGGGCATATATTCTGGTTGATGTTTTGGATTTCTTGGGAAATATTCCTAGAAGTGGGATTACTGGGTCAAATGGGAGTTCCCTTTTTAATTTTTTTTTACGTAACTCCACAGTGGATGCACCAGTCTGCATTCCCGCCAGCAGTGTACGAGCGTTTCTTTTTCTCCATATCCTTGACAGCACTTGTCTATTGTTGATTTGTTGATCATTCTTTAATATTCTTACTATTTTTAAATCATTTATCGGTCTGCTTTTATTCGAGAGACGCGAAGTTGAAGAATCAAATCACTAAGGGTTATTTTCGGATGATGGAAAAGGATATGAGAATTCACGTTCTCATATCCTTTTTGGGGAGAAATATTTAAGTGGAAAACTGCATATATAATTTTAATTAATATATGCTGAAATACATGGTATTTTAAAGAACTCCTTTAACAAAATGGTAGTTAAGATTTATTTTAATTTTTCAATCTGAAAAACAACAAACAAACCCCAAAACAAAAAAAACAAACTATACTTATATGTACAATGTCAACATTCTCAGAGCACTTACACTAGGAAACTGTGTTTCTCTTCAAACGTAGGACAGCACTGCACGTGCCGCAATAACATTTACAAATACAGTCGCGTCAGCAGTCACCCAGACAGCAGGATTCACATTCAATGCACGAGAGAGAACGGATGTCTGCTGGCGCTCTGCCTCCTCCTCCCCGGCCTGCCTGCAGCCCAGAGCAGGTCTCCATGCGCTTTGAGCTTCGGCTTGTAAAACCCACGGTGGCTGTTTTAGAAGTCCCATCCCTTCCAGACCATAACTTAAATAATGAGAAATTTGCCATTTAAAAATAACAACCCATGATTTATCACTGGGCATGGTGACATTTACTCACCAAAAGGGGTGTAAAAAAATCGTATGAAAGGGAAAAATAAATACAGCGGTTGTAAGTAGTCTTGTTTACGCTACGTTTCAGAACACTTAAACATAAACGTGCCCTTAAAGTTTTAGAAAGTAGTTATTTCTGATCAAATTACAACTGCTGGACAAATCTAACGAAGACAAACGGATTTGGTAAAGGTTCAGAGACTCACACGCCAGCAGGCATTTCCCCACGCCCCAGCCGGCGGGACGTGGCGACCTGCCCTGTGTCCGACAGAAGGCACTGGGTCTGAGGATGCCGCACTCTCGCCTTAGGTCACACTTCCTGTTCCTTACAGCAAACTCTTTGAAATAAAAAAAATAATAAACATTTCGGGACACAGTGCACTTTAATGACATACAGCACTTGAAATCTCTCAGACAGAGGTCTGAAAATAGCCTTTTAATGCAAGCCTGACCCTTCAAAACCATATAGTCCTCTTCTTTTATGCTTAGTTTCAACATCACTGGAAAAAATACCCATCACTAAACCCTGATAGACATTCTTGGCCATCTTCCTCTCTCCCATGGCGTCAGTGTTCATGAGGCAAAGCGTGACCCAGGATCTCAGTTCAAGTCCTACAAGGGCTCCATTCACAAAAGTCATTCAGTTTTCGGCTCCTTTTGTTTGACACCTGTCAGCAGAGGGAAAACGAAAGTTTCAGAGATATCAAAACCCCTGACAGCATGTGCTCCTCCACATCAGGGGTCTCTGTGTCCTGGGGCAGGGGCTGAGCAGGGGCTCCAGGTTCCCACCCCCACCCACCATGACTGCAGCATGCTTTCAATTGGTATCACATATTGTAATTTTAAATAAGCGAGATTTAATTCAGAAAAGGATTCTGCTGATAAAGAATTGTAAAATAAATGTGTATTTACATTTTTGTGAAGATGCAAAGTGCTTCCATTGTTCATATAAAAGTGTCTTAAAAAAAGCATTATACACATTTAAGGATAATTGCACATAACACCAACTTGATCTGGCCAGGATATTTCAAAATGGGCTGGGAGAGTTATTGTTTTTCTCATCACAGCAGCTTCTCTTCCATTTTCTCAGCAGACACTCAACTTTTAAAAGAGATTAACAATCTATAAAAAAAATAAGGGGCAACCCTGGCCAGTGTGACTCAATCCTGGCCAGTGGTTAGAGCATCGGGTGGCAGGTTCAATTCTCAGTCAAGGGTATGTACGTGGGTTGCAGGTTCCATCCCTGGCCCGCGGGGGGGGGGGGGGGGGGGGGGGGGGGGGGAGTGTGTGGGAAGCAACCAATGTATGCTCTTTCTCATACCTCTCTCCCTGGCTCCCTTCTACTCTAAAAATCAATGAAAAAAAAAAAAGACCCTTGGGATGAGGATTAACAAAAAATAAAATAAGGGACTAAAAATTTGTGGCTAATGCCCTCTGACTACTGACTCATTGGTTGTATGTGTAGATATTAGGTTCATTTGGGGAGTCTGAGTTAGTAAGTTTGACAATGAACTAGCTTTCTGAACGAGGGACAATGTCATTATATTGTATCAGTATCTTTCCGAGGGAATTGTGTCCATTATCGGTGGAAAGAATAACTCTGGCATCTTAGTCACATAATAGTAGATGCTGTAAAAGGACACCTTGATTATCCCATAGACATGCACCCAACAGCACTCTCCTGCGGATGGCGCCTTATTGTGCACAAGCAGCCTGCACTCACGGTTTTGGTTTCAACTCCAAGTACCTCGGAAGGGCCCGAGGCCTGTACCGGCCTGCTCATTTCTAGTTGAAGGAACAGGGGCCCGATGAGGTGCGCAGCTGGCACACCCACAGCTCTCAGGGACCCCTGGGGCGGGGTCAGCAGCCGGACCCCGGGATGCTTATTCCAGGCCGCTCCCTGCACGGCAGCATCAGGCCCAGCTGCTGACCTGTGTGGAACCCCGAGTTCTGACAGGTCTGCTTCCAGTGTTCACGTGTTGTTACGGGAACACAGAGCCTTCTCCTAAGCAGAGCATTATCTACTCTCTATTATACAGACTTCTAATTCGGCGCCCCGTCTTTATCACACCCTTCTGGGGTAACAGACGTTTCCAATTCCTGCTGCACGCAGGTCCCTCCCCAGAGAGGAGATTAATGACTTGGAGTTTTAAATATCAAATCTGGATGGAAATGTAAACCCATCCAGCCCAATGGGCTCATAGTTCAAGACCTGAAGGCACAGAGAGGATAAAGAACAGCACTGTTTACTCTGAGTTTGCGACGCACAGTGAATGCTGGCTGCAGGGACAGCGAGAACCTTCCTCCGCCCGGAGGGTGCCTGTCGGAGGCGCCGGGTCTGTGCCCACATGGGTCCTCTGCCCGGAGGAGCCTCTTCCTGAAGCGCAGGAAGGGCTGCTCGCTGTCTGTACATGTCATCCCTCTCCGGCGGGGTCCGCTCCCCACTGGATGCTGCCCCGGGGGCTGCCCACTGCCCACACGGCTGTGGCTCCCGGTCAACGCTTCCAGCATTCCGCTGTCCGAACAGAACAAACCGGTCCATTCTTCTGCTCACGGATCCTGGCTTGTTTCCAGCTTTAGTTTAATGCTATGAACAATCTCACATTCATTTGTTCTTTTTAATCAACATTTCATGATTATAAAAAAGATTATCATGAGTTTCATGTTCTCTAGCATCTGAAATTTTAAAGTGACCACACAGGCCCCATGTCTGGCTTCTGACTCAGGAGGTGTGGGCGGGGCCCTCGGTGCACATTTCTGACAAGCCCGGGTGCTGCCGCCGCCCTGGGGCCCTGGGCCGTGTCCCTGCTCCACTGGAACCACAACCTGGGGCTCCCGCTCAGGGATGTGCCGCCCTCTCACGGGCGCGGGGACTCGTGAAGGGCGGCATCTTTAGGTGAGAGGTCAACTGTAAAAACTCGTCTCAGCTAGTTTGATTTCTGAATGAAAGAAAAAATCAATACTGTAACGTAGTACACACACTTGAATGTTTAACTTCTAAGAGTTCAAAGTGCATGTCACTTGTCTCCTGTCCTAGCATTCTTGGACTTGTGTGGCCTCAGGCTGGGTTGTTTGTATTTTTAAAAAAATATTTTTTTACTAGAGGCCTGGTGCACAAATTTGTGGGGTCCCTCAGCCTGGTCAGTCATCAGGGCAATTGGGAGGTGGGATGGGGGCTGGCCAACCAGGGGGAGGGATGTGGGAGGTTGGCTGGCCAGGGGGAGGGACTGTGGGAGGTTGGCCAGCCATTGGGGAGAGGGACTGTGGGAGATTGGCTGGCCATGGGAAGTTGGCTGTGAGAGTGCACTGACCACCAGCGAGCAGCTCCTGCATTGAGCATCTGCCCTCTAGTGATCAGTGCGCATCATAGCAATTGGTCAACCGGTCACTTAGGCGCATATGGATTTCAGAGAGAAAGGGGGGGAGAGATAGAAACATCAATGATGAGAATCATTGACCGGCTGCATGACCCCTACTGGGGATTGAGCCTACAACCCAGGCATGTGCCCTTGACCGGAATTGAACCTGGGACCCTTCAGTCCACAGGCCAATGCTCTATCCACTGAGCCAAACCAGTTAGGGCTGGGTTGCTTGTATTTACTGGGGGGTAGAGGGAGGAGGAGGGGGAAGAAAAGGAAAGGGGCTGGCGGGTTTAGGACCCCTAACAGTGCCCCCACTATTATACGTGTGAAACAGAAGGAACATGAACTCTTTTCCAAGGCTGCACCCCCTTACATGCTCCTGGCTGGGATCCAGGGGGGCAGGCTCAGAGCGAATCTGGCAAAAATGAGTTTGGTAGCTAATGTAATTTCCATGCACTATTTGTGGAAAAAAGTCTGTTATGTCTTTTGTTTTATATACTCAACACACTAGAAAGTCATTTTGTTTTTGGAGTGTAGATGGTGTCAACAGTTGGAACCCAAAGAATTTCCCTCCTCTTTTCCAGTTAGCAGTCCTAAAAGGAAAGCAAAACTGAAGGGTCTTAAGCTTTTTAATGGAAAAGGTTCTGATGAACTTGACGATGAATCCTCGATTATTCGGGCACTGCCGGGCAGAGAGGGGCCCAGTCAGGATGCTTTCTACACTTTTCTCTTACTCAAGTAGAAGAATAAACTTCACAACCACAAGGGAAATGAAATGGTTTACAGAGGAACGCACAGAAGCCACCCCCGGAGGAGGAGCAGCATGCCCTGCCTCTGTCCTAGGAGGGCAAGGTCAGAAACTGGCCTTAGTACCTGGTGGGGTGAGGATGAGGGCTTGCAGAATATCTGACAGGGAAATAATACCCACAATGCTATCTGCTTCATTCACTACCACCAGCCGATGGACCTGCAAACAAGAGAAAAGTAGGCCAAGTTTAAATAAAAATGCTTTAAAATGGAAAATAGGAGGAAAATACCTTCCAGATACTCTACAGTGAATCCATCCCACAAATCACAGAAGGTAAGGGCTACAGAAGCACGGGAAGGTCTTTGGCTCTGCAGTTCAAATGAGATGCTGATTTGCTTGACTACTATTTTTTTTTTAATTTAAGATTTTAAACTTTTATTGGTTTTTAGAGAGGAAAAGGGAAAAATATCAACATGAGAGCATAATATCTATCGTCTGCCTCCTGCGTGCCCTCTATCAGGGATCGAGCCTGAAACTTGGGCATGTGCTCTCACCGGGACTCCAATCAGCAACCTTTTGGTGCATGGATGACACCCAAGCAACTGAATCACACTGGCCAGGACTGCCTGACCACTTAAAAATATTTTAAAAATTGATTTCAGAGAGGAAATGAGAAGGACAGAGATATAAACATCAATGATGAGAATCATTGACTGGCTGCCTTCTGCATGCCCCCTACTGGGGGATTGAACCTACAACTCAGGCATGTGCTTAACTGGAATTGAACCTGGGACTCTTCAGTCCTCAGGCCGATGCTCTATCTACTGAGCCAAACCGGCTAAGAGTAAGCCTGACTACTTTTAAGAACAATTTAGCCAGCCATGTCCAGCTGAGTTTTCAAATTTCAATGTTAGTATATGGAAGATACAACTCAAAACATGGAAGTACAATGTAGCTATCATATAAATAGTTTTTATTTTTAAAAATATCTCAGTTTCTAACAACTATCAGATTCTGTTTCACGTGGGAAAAGTCCAAATGAGCACTAATAGGCCACTGCCCTGGGATTGTCTTTTGTTTATTTTTATCATGTCTCTATGAAGTTTATATATTAATACTCAGAGGATAAATGAACCAGTAAAGCAGGTTATAGTCATGTCTCTTTTTCCACTTGAAAGTCTTTTATAAACAAGTAGGTCATGTGCTGAGGTATTACTCTAGCGAAGCATCCTTAGAGCAGGAAAGGAAGGAGAACATCCCACGACTGATTTAAAAGCTTTCTCCCTGTGGAACCATTGAACGCCCTGGTCCCCGAGGTACAGAATGGGGATGCAGAAGGGAGATGGGAAGGGAGGAAGTTGTTTTTATATTTTGTCTTTTTTTGTTGTTGTTGTTTACCCAGCCCTCTCCCCTTTGCTGACTATCAGCTTGTTCTCTATACCTATGGGTCTGTTTCTGTATTAATTTTTTATTTATTTTTTTTAGAGTTCACATGTAAGTGAAATCATATGGTTATTTGTGTTTAACTTATTTCACTCAGCATAATACTCTTTGGGTTGTTACAGATGGCAGGATTTCATTGCTTTTTATTGCAGCAAATAATATTCCATTGTATATACGTTCTTCTTTATCCATTCATCTACCTATGGACACTTAGGTTGCTTCTATATCTTGGCTGTTGTGAATAATGCTACAGACACATGGGGTGCATATATCTTTTCAAATTAGTGTTTTCATGGAGTTGCTGCCTCACAAGGTAGCTCTATGTATACATTTCTGAGGAGCCTCCGTACTGCTTTCCACAGTGGCTGTACCAGTTTACATTCCCGTTCATAGTGCAAGGGGGTTCCCTTCTCTCCACATTCTTGCCAACACTCGTTGTTTATTGATTTATTGCTATCAGCCATTTTGACAGGTGTGACATGATATTTCATTGTGGTTTTAATTTGCATTGCCTTGTGGATTAATGATGTTGAGTTTCTCTTCATATGTCTGCTGTCCATATGTATGTCTCCTTTGGAGAGATGTCATCCCTGGTACTGCATACCCTTCTCCTAACGAACTATGATGAAGCTGAAAATTGGTTTTGTCCCCCACTGAGAAGTCACCTGGTGAAAGAAATTATTTTAATGAGGAAAGTCAGGATGGATAAATTGAGAAAACTGTTCAATTGCTTATTTTTCTCAATGACCTATTTCATATGACAATGAAATTTCTCTTGTTCACCAGATGAACTTCAACGACTAGCCGGATACTTTTTCTTCTACCGGATGTGACTGGTGGGGCTAGGGACAGCGGGCAACCAGAGCACGCTCACCCAGAACAGTTGGAACAGTTGCTGTGACTGCTGTGGTGGGAGTCCTTCCGGCTGCTTATCTAGGTGGGTGATGTGTGCTACACAAAGAACCACGCTGCTATGCGGTACTGTAATGGCTTTTTCTCTTAGCAAAGTCTTGTTAATGTTTTTCTATAGCATCAACATTCTTTAACATGAATTTTAATTGTTATAAAGGATTCCACTATTTGGATGCCCACTATGCTTCTAAATAGGAAGCATGCCTTATCTACCGTGTTTCCCCGAAAATAAGACATCCTCCGAAAATAAGACCTAGCGCATGGAAAGATAAGACATCCCCTGAAAATAAGACCTAGCGCAACTTTGGGAGAAAAAATTAATATAAGACACTGTCTTATTTTTGGGGAAACAGGGTATTTCTGATTATGATCTTCAAAAGGCACACAATTCTGAGGACATTAATAAAAAAGTTAGGACATATCCTAAGTTAATTACACCTCTTTGCAAAACAAGTAATGATGGATATTAAATTCAGGTAGAAAAGGGAAAGACTCTCAGGCGGGGTGGCTCAGTGGCTGAGTGTTGACCTATGAACCAGGAGGTAACAGTTCAATTCCCGGTCAGAGCACATTTCCAGGTTGAGGACTCAATCCCCAGTCGGGTGCATGCAGGAGGCAGCTGATCAATGATCCTCTCTCATCATTGATGTTTCTATTTCTCCTCCCTTCATCTCTGAAATCAATAAAAATATATTTTAAAAAAAGAAAAGAGAAAAGGAAGACTTCATATTGAAATTCTATTGACACACTGTCAGCCATGACAGTTGAGGAGGAGGGCAGGGGGCAGGACTGGTGGGCTCTGCAAGGCTGGCTCCCAGGGTGGAGCACTGTGCCCCGCTTCTCACCAAGCTTTCAGAAAGCGAGTCGCCTGTTATTAGCTGTAAAATAATCAGGTACTTTTATTCTTGGACTGCGCTCTTGCATTTATGATGATCATCAAAGCAGACTTATCGTCATGAATTGATTTTGCCTAATTAGGGGTTGTTCTAGAAGGAACATAGTGGCATCCTTCAGTCCTAGAGGGATGAAAGGAGAATATTCCTCTTCCTATCTATCAAGGAAGGAAAAAATGATTTTAGGAATGGGCACACTGAGTTAGATAAACGTCTAGTAAACTTGTCTCCTGGCATTCGGCACTCATGTCCATTATACTTGAAAATCCTACAGCGGTAAGTACAACGGGACATGAATGCCGAGGGCCAGGAGACAGGGTTACTAGACATTTGCTATTGACCTAAATCCTGAGGGAGAGGTACTGAGGCGGGAGAGAGAAAATTACTTTACCTTGAAAAAATCAGAATACATTTTATCACTTACTTTGTTAAAACCCTATAATTGCACCTTTTTAACTTTTGTAAATACCCTAATGCAGTGGTCTGCAAACTGCGGCTTGTGAGCTGTGGTTTGCTGCTCTGTTGACTAATGAGTTTGCTGACCACCGCTAGACTAAATGTTACCGTGTAGTTGGAAGCTGTGAGGATTATTGGGCAATTGTTGCATATTGTGTGCAAAGAGGTAAAAGGTAGTATATGACAGTGGTCAGCAAACTCAATCAACAGAGCAGCAAACCTCGGCTCGAGAGCTGCAGTTTGCAGACCATTGCCCTAATGGAACTTGAAGCTCTTGGGACCTGTTTCTTCAAGTATGTATTTTTAAAAAAATATATATTTTATTGATTTTTTACAGAGAGGAAGGGAGAAAGAGAGCTAGAAACGTTGATGAGAGAGAAACATCGACCAGCTGCCTCTTGCACACCCCCTACCGGGGATGTGCCCGCAACCAATGTACATGCCCTTGACCGGAATCGAATCTGGGACCTTTCAGTCTGCAGACTGACGCTCTACCACTGAGCTAAACTGGTCTTGGCAAGTATGTATTTTTTAAACAGGGCAGTATCTTACCAGTTTACTTGATATCAGGACTTATAAATTTCATTCAATGAATATTTACAGATGGCCCACTGTGTGCCAGGTAACATGCTAGGTTCTGGAACAGGGGACTGTGTCCTCCCACTGAACTTGAAGGTGGCCCCATGGGCTGGTCCTGAGAGTCACAATTCCTGAGGCGCCATTCATTGGTTACAGCTCCTGTGACTTGGGGGATGGGGGGCCGGGGAAAGGAATGTGGACCAGCCATCTCACCTCCGCTCTTACTATTCTATCCACAATGGTCTCCAATATTTCCAGCTTACTGCACTTGACCACGCCCTCGAAATACTGGGAGCGGTGCTGAAGCGCCTGGGTCACGGTGATATCTAGGTTATTGTATGTTTTCTCAGCAGCAAGGTTCTGTAATAAAGCATCAGAATGCATTACGTGCTTTCATTTACGTGCACCCTGGTGACCGTGATTGCGCACACACACACACACATCAATGCTATGCAGTACCAGCACACCAGCTAATGTGTCCTCCAGTGAGGATTAAAGCTTACGAGGCAGACCTTAATGTGGAGGAACTCTGTTAATCTGACCGCATGTCCTTCTGAAGGCCCCCCCCCCCCCCCCTTCCCCAGGCTCCTTCCTGGATAAATCGTCTTCTGAAAGCTGGCCTAACGGGAGGGTGAAGAATGTCGAGGACCCTCCCTAGGAGCCCCTCAGGGTCTCATTAGCCTGAGCAGGCCCCCTCAGGCACATTCCAATGAACAGATTTTCTCTCACGTTAAGTTAACGGAAGAGGAGAGACGAGGCCTTGGGGCAGCTGCAAAGGAGTGCTTAAGGCTGGGGTCACTATTACGGCCCCCCATGACGCGCACATGTGGCACTACCAAGTTTCAGCTCCCATTCTTAGGAGGAACGGAAAGTACATTTAAATGAACGAGGAAAAAAGCGTCATTTGGAAAGACGGAGCACCAAACTCAGCCTGGATTTAAACCAGAGATGCCAATGGCCTTTACCTAACCATCTGGGCCATTTGCTGTCGTCTTCAGAACATGTGTCCCCAGTCATCCAACAACGGGATGCACGAGACTACAAGTCCATGTGCACCAAGTTCAGACACGTGACCGTTGTTGGGATAAATAACGTCTCCACACAGAACAAAGACCATTTAAAATATATACGCATGCTGCGGTGATAAACTATACTATACATGTAATGAAAAGACAAAGATTTATAAAATACTACTAGTATATTATTCATTGCTAAACCAATGAATATTAAAAATACAATTACTATAGGGCGTCTTTGGAATTCTCCGATAAGATCTTTATACTCTAAAATGCTAGAAATCATTAAATGATGGAAAAACCCACAAAAACAGATTTAGTATGTTTTAAATGCATTTTAGATGAAAGGTTTAACAAAATTAAAGATACTTACAATTACATCAAATTTGGAATAAATATCTACGACTTTCCCTAAAAATGAAAATATATGTTAGAAAAGTATCTTAGGAACAAAAAAATTACATTTAAAATCAATCTTTACGAGGCCATAATTAAGAATTACATATTGCCAAATAGAACTAGCGTGCCAGTTTTTAAATGAACATGAGATCCTGTATTAATGGCAAGTGTGAAAATCTGCCAGTTTAAAGTTCCTATTATCTAGCAGGCTTCCTCAAACTTTTTAAAGTGGGGGCCAGATCACGGTCCCTCAGAGAGCTGGAGGGCCGGACTATATGAACTACTAATTCCTACTGTAACACCTCGGCTGCGCTCACTGCCCAAAAAACCTGGCGGGCCGGATCAGACTCCTCTGCGGGCCGCATGTGGCCCGAGGGCCGTAGTTTGAAGACCCCTGATCTAGAGTGTGCCTCAGGCTGAATTTATTCACCGTGTCTGAATGTGCATTCCCCCGCACTGAGCTCGTGCGAGGCCATCTGACAGCAACTTCACTGAGATGGACAGTTTTCCTGTTTACGGCCAAACAGACCTGACTCGTCCACGACGGGCAAGGCGGACACGCGCCGCTCCACGAAGACGCTGAGGGCTTTGATGATGGGCGTGTCGGGGTGGATGAAGGCGATGTTGTGGTAGGTCCCGATGCCCAGGGCGACCAGGTTCTGCTTCATGAAGGCGGGCTTTGGCATATCGGACAGCTGAACGGGAGGACAAGTGCAAACGCTCTAGACCCACTCAGGCCTTCCTCCCGCTCACATAGCCACACTAGCGCGACAGACTCAAGCCAGGCTTTTCTAACAATCTGAATCAATTGTCTTTTGCTCAAACCAGTTTAAGTCCAGTATCTTTAACTACTTAGTGAAACACTGCACAGTGCTGCCAGTGTAACATTTCCCCCTCTCTGCCCACTGAGAAGAGGACAGGAAGGAACAACAGGTCTCTTGGCAAGTTAAGACCCAGAAGCCACCGAGAATCCTTATTGGTAAGTATCCACAGGAACCCCTGCTCCCGGGCCTCACTGGGGAGTACTTGTGAGAACCCACACATCTCCAAACCCACGTGTTTGATAGTGGCGGTCTGAGCTGTAAGCTCGTCCTCACACCGTCCGCCTCCACTCACCCCGGCCTCTCCTTCGGAGGCCTCCAGTTTTTGTCTACTGGGAATGAAGGACAAGCCAACTGGACAGAATTAAAAACCCTTTAAAAAATTAACTTTTCTTTCTTTTTTTTTCCACGGTTGTTTTAGAGGAGGAGGGAGAAGTCAGAACAGAGAAGTCTAGGGTCACATTTGATTAAAACAAAATAGGGTCTATGGTTTCAAAAGTCCACCTTTTAAACTGGGTATAGCTGATTCCATCCTCCTGGTGTACCTTATAATTATCGGGAAAGATGAACAATTAGAAGAAACAAAATGTTCAAGTCAAAGAGTTCATCAATATTCAAATCATGAGACTCCTAGAAATTTAGAGAGAAAAAAGAAAGCCCTATTAGGTCACCTAGCCCGTGGTGATGCAGGACAACCCCCGTTCCACACTGTGTGCCTAGGCTGGCGGGCACCTGTCCCCGAGGGGCGCGTCCCCTGCTCAGAAGACGAGCTCACCCTTCAGTAAAAGTCAGGTTTTGAAACCTCTCTAAAGTTCTGTATTTTGATCAGAAAACCTCTAGCTGGTCAGCTATTCCACTAGCATGGCTCTCCGTACCATATTGGCCCAAATCCGAGGCAGTACCGGGGAGGAAGCCTCCTCTAGGTTTACAGAGAAAACACCACAGGCCCGTCTCAAATGGCCGCTCCCTTCCCAAGGCAGCGAAGCCGGGGAAGGTGCCGGAACCTGACCACTTGGCCTCCGAGTCACCCCCTCAGGGTGGGGGGTGAGAGATGGGGGGAGAAGGGGCTGAGAAAGGCAGCTGGTCAGCCTGCCAGCAGTGAGGTGGCAGCCACTGAGCCTCGCCGAGTCTCATCACTTATAAGTGGGATTGATAAAAACACCTACCTGAGAGGGCGGTGGTGAGGGGGAGATTCACCACATGACCTGCTTGGGACAGTGCCCAGCTTACTGTAAATGCTGAACAGTATTTAGCTCTTGGGATCAAAATTGCTTTAAAATGCTGACTTGAAGGGGTAAATGGGGCTCGGGCCCACGGGGTCCTGTGAAAGCTCATTGCTAAGGTGACTGCGTTCCCAGCTCATCTGATGTCAGGTCTGACCAACAGCACCTGCATGTCCCCAGTCCTTCCTGCCTGGATCACCTTCCTACCAAAACTCACGCCTTTTTGTAAATGACGCTTCTCCTTCCTACCTTCTTCCTCAGCATTAATTAAGCATGAGGAGTGTTATTTTTCCACGTAAACTATTCAAATAGGGGACTGGCTTGGAGGACAGCAGTTCCTCCCAGTAACGACACGCTTAGTGCTCTGTCCCGCAGCGGTGGGCGGTGCTCCCCATGCCAGCACCCCTGCCATTGCCTTATTGAAGCAGGGGCTGAGGAATGGGAGAGCTCATCTGAGGCACATTTTTGGTGTCTAGTTACTTCTAAAAAAAAAAAAAAGACTTCAAATGATCTCTTCTGAATGAATGATGCCGCCTATTGGTTCTAGTTGACCAATTACCTGTAATGTCAAATTCAATGCTTGTGTCCTTAACAGGAAAAAACCCAAATTCAGTGCCTATCAATAAAAGGAAAAACTTAAAGCCTCTTGTGAACACTCCGTCCCTCTGAGCTCTTTGAAACCCGCCAGACAAAGAGGGTCTAAGCTTTGTGTGATTATGAAACCTTCTGTATGATTATGAAAAGCAGTTGAGAAAACTTAGAGATGACACAGCCCTAATTTGGACCAACATGGTATTCTCTCGCCAACATTTCACTGGCTTTGGGTTTTCCTCTCGCGGCTGCCGTCAAGCTAATTCTGGGGACAGTCCTTTCTGAATATATGTTTCCCAGCCAAGATCCCGATAGAGCAGCGGAAGGCAATCTGCTATAAATATTGGCTCAATTTATTAGACTGACTTGCAAATTAGAATATTTTAGCTGATAAAATATTCTAATTTAAATAGAGAATTCCAAGTGTTTTATTATTTGGATTTTTAAAAATTGGAATCAACTTTTGAGAATGTACAATTCAAACAGCAGTAAGTTGAGAAACTGAAGTTTAGAAATGGAGACCTCACAACTAACGACTTCTGCTACTGAGGGGGACAGGACCCAATTTACTTGAATTAAATTAGCTATAAAGTAGATGCAGCTATGTCTTTAGAAACACTAAAAACTACTTACAAAAAGCTGGAGGAACTTGAGGATTCTTTTGTGGGTAAGTATATAAAGTGCATTCCCACTGATAGGGTCAATAACTGGCAATCTGTGGATTTTATTTTTGATCAACGAGTTTACAGCATCGAAGAGGCTGCGGGAAAAGCCATTAGAGTTGTTAGGAGGCTTTCAGGACAAATTAGAAAGCTCTGGACCACCCCTGGTTTCAAAGCATTTCCAGTGTTTTTATATTACAATCATAAGAGGTCGAATGACTTAAAACAGTGGTTTGGAAAAGTTTTAAACTGGAGATTTCGGTAAATATTCTGATTTTTCTTCACAATCTGTGTAAATACATCTAGTGTGAGCTACAGATCTCTGGCAGTTTTCTGGAAGCACAGTTACTGCTTTTATCTGAGAAACGACAGGCGCCAGCCCCTAGGAAAGCTAATGGGCATCACCAGCAGCGGCAGAGGCAGCGGCTGGGGTCAGGCCCAGGCCGCCGCTGGCCGCTTCCTGCTGGGCCAGCCACTCTGGGCAGCCCTGGCCTCTCCTGTGACTTCCAACCAGGGGGGCCTGGTAGATGTGTCTGTTGGAATTTGGAAAGAAAATACTAAAAATCAACATTCCACTTTTTTCTCGCTGGGGTTCAGACTTAGAATGCTTTCAGATACGCGTGGAAATGTCCGAGGGCATCCCAGGGGGTTGGGGGATGGAGAAAATGCAGGGGCTGGGAGACTCCGGGGAGGGCAGCCTTCTTCCGCCACCTCCGGACCCAGGGCTGAGAGGCTGACTGTCCAGCTTCACAGCAGTCAGCACGCTGCCCACTCCGGCAGCTCCCCAGACGGCTCACAGGGGGAGGCCAGGGACCTGCGTCCTAACGGGCTGCCTAGGCGACTTCTGCTACCGGTGACGTGGATTGTCAAACTGCTTCGTATGACCAGCTCCCTAGTCCAGTGGTCAGCAAACTCATTAGTCAACAAAGCGGCAAACTGCCGCTCACCAACCCACTGCCCCAGTCCATTATCAATCCCTTGCATCAGTAATAACTGTGATTTTTATTATCTCTAGACTTACTGAATTTAATATTTGGAATTAAGGAGGCTGGCTCTTATCTATATAAGAAAAATCTGTTAACCAATCAATCATCGTAACAAAACAGATGGATCTGAGTGAATGTTTTCAAAGGAGAAAAACGGCCCAAGATTACCTTGCATCTGGAGATATATTCACTAAAGGCTTAAATGTTTCTTGTAAATAAAGCTCTGTATTTACAGAAAGAAAAGATGTAATTAGTAACATACTGGCTGTTTGCAATGATTACATAAATTAAAATACTCTTCAATTTATAGATAATAATTAAAGACCCAAATCACATTTCATCGGCTGAACACTACCCTGTTAATTACAGTTATGGCTATTTTAAGTAACTCTCACACTGGATGTTGCCTCTGTGGACAAGTTCAATATTTAAAAAGAGGATTACAAGAGATGCTGCAAAAATGAGAAGCCAAGGAACCTGATAAAAGCGATGCCAGCAGAGGGCACTAAATGCTGCCACGTCCCTGCCTCCCTCAGGAGCGGAGGCATGAGCGAAGTCCTTTAGAACTATAATAATTCTCCCGAGTTAAAAAATAAAAGCTGCAACAGGCTTAGTTCCCAAAATGTCATTAAGTTGGCTTTTACCAAACTAGTGCTCAAAATTCACTGCATCCCAGGGAATCTCTCCAGTGTAGAAATTATCTTTGTGAAGGTCAACGAACTTACTGAGGTTTCTATACAGAAGGCATTCCAGGATGTGCTGACATTGCTATTAGTGCTGAATAACCATGTAATGTTAAAATGTGAATATACTTAACCCTGGCCTAAGATGACTTACACAGGAGAGTCTGACAAGAATTAACTGTCTTGGTGGTGTTATATGCACTTTCACATCATGACAGGCAGTGCTAAGACATGGATCCCATGCTGGCTTTGTTTGGTTTGAGTTGATAATGCCATTATCAAACCTACCATGTAATGGAACTTCTAAATCACATGGAATTAACAGTCCCCTAGCCCTTTAGAGAATTCCAATGGATGTTCACATTTCACAGCGAGGCACAAGGCTGCTTATCATAGCAAGCGGACTATGGGAAGTACAAAGCGAAATTTCAATTTTAAATTAAAAAATTTCCTTCAACTGGTCCCTCCATTTCTCTCTAGGTCCCGTTCCCCCACTCTGCCCCCAAGGCTCCCTGCTCAGTGACTCCCACCAGCCCTTTATCTATGGCATTCCTGCTGACAGTCTGTGGCCGCCCACCTCCGCTCCAATCCGGCGTGATGCGTCTTGCTGACACAGAACAGTTTCACAATTGTGCAATGTGAAATGGGCCCATTTCAGAAAGGGTACGGTGATCACAGAGAGTGAATTTCAATGTTACAAACAAAACGAAGCAATTGGGACATTACTTTCATGTTATCTGATCCCAATCATCTAGTTTCTAGTTTAAGGTTCACTTGTTCTATGTTTCTTCATAATTGGTAAAGAAATAATTATTAACTTTATAAAAGAACAGATCCTTGCTCTTGTTAATCTTGGGCATTCCTTTGGTGCATTTTCCATACAAAGGCAGTTTTTTGGGGAGTAATACTTGGTGCTGAAATGGTGGCTCCCCTGGGGGCAGAGATGTGGGCGCTGCTTAGCTTACTCATCTTCACATTCCTGGGCTTGGTATAAAGACCTGCTACGGGCTCTCAATTTCTGTTAAACAGAAGGGGTAATATATACAGTAGGATGGCATACTATCAAAACTAAGATAAAAATAAATGTTTTAATTAATGCAATTTATGTTATCATTAAGCAGAGAGCAAAGGGTCTGTGAAATTAAAACATTTTATATACGAAGTAAAACATGTTTTCTGATAGTAAAATATTTTAAATACCCCACAGTACTTACCCCTCCATGTTTCAATCTTATGTTCCTCTAATTCATAAATCTGTACCTGAAAATAAAAAAAAATTCTAATTTACAAAAGTTAATGTAATGTAAGAAACATTTCATGGCTATTGCTGAATCCTATAATTCAGCAGATGCAAACAAGATAATTCAGTACTGGAAATATAAGTTAGAAAGAAAATGCTCTATAATTCTCTGAAGATAAATGTTTTGTCAATTTAAAACACAATAAACGAATCTAATATATTTTCATTAACTAATTTGAAAATTTCTGATATATTTTAATTTTAAAGCACACATGAACATATATACTCAATCCTTTCTGAGACAACAGAAGATCTTTAGCATCTCTAACTTAAAAAGAAAAAACAGCCAAAGCCAGTTTGGCTCAGTGGATGGAGCATTGGCCTGCATACTAAAGGGTTCCACATTCGATTCTGGTCAAGGGCATGTACCTTGGTTGCGGGCACATCCCCAGTGGGGGGTGTGCAGGAGGCAGTTGATCGATGTTTCTCTCCTCTCTCATCAATGTTTCTAGCTCTCTAGCTCTCTCTCTTCCTCTCTGTAAAAAAAACAATAAAAAATATATTTTTTTAAAAAAGAGAAAAAACAACACATTTGAAAAACCCTTACACAACAATAGTCTCAGTTGACCCACTGTAATCCCCAAAGGAAGGAGGGGGCAGTAAAATATTTGAAGAAACAGTATCTAAGAGAATGGAGAAAAAGAATATAATTTCAGAGAGAGGATCCAAGATGGCTGCTCGGGTAGACACCTAACCGCAGCAGCTCACAACAATTTCAATGGAATACAACTAAAATGTAGAGTGGACATTGCCCAGACCTACAGGTGGTCGACTGACTGAAAACTCTACAATAGGAAGGTGGGAGAAAGCCAGAGGGAAAGTCAGAGGAGCTGAAAAAAGAGCCTAAGGTACGGAGACATGCTGCGCGCTCGCACGTTCGCGCGCACCGAGAGGTCGCAGCCGGAGAGGAGGAGAGGGCTGGGTGCTGCCTGGCGTTCCCTAGCAGGAAGGAAATGAAACCCCCAGCCTGGGCTGAACCCCCGAACTGGCAGCGCTGAGCCCCATTATGGGCCAGATTCTGGGGACCCAGGCTCCGGCAGGGGGAGACGGGGCTGGGAGGCTGAATCCCAGGGGAAAAACGAAAGGCGGGGGCCCCCGGAGTCGCGCGCTTTGTGCGCAGAGGACTGAATGTAGACTCTGATGCTGGATTACCCTAGCCGGAAGGAACAAAGCCTCCGGCGGCGCTGAGCCTCAGAACGGAGCGCCCCGAACTCCCGGTTTGGGCCAGTCCCTGGGGACCCAGGCCCGGGCACGGGGAGACGGGGCTGTGAGGCAAAATCCTGGGGACGGCGCGAAAGGCGGGGTCCCCTGGAGTCGCGCGCTTTGTGCGCAGAGGACTGAATGTTGACTCTGATGCTGGATTACCCTAGCCAGAAGAAACAAAGCCTCCGGCGGCGCTGAGCCTCAGACCGGGCCGCCCCGAACTCCCGGTCTGGGCCAGTCCCTGGGGACCCAGGCTGGGCAGGGGGAGACGGGGCTGTGAGGTGGAGTCCTGGGAGCGCGGCGAAAGGCCGAGCCCCCGGAGTCGCGCACACTGCGCGCAGAGGACAGTCTGTTGACTCTGATCCTGGACTCCCCTAGCGGGAGAGAGAAAGAAAGCTCCAGACTGGAGGATCGTGACGAGGAGCAGGAGCCCCCGCTGGACACCTGCCAGCCGGGTGCCAGCAAGGAGCCGGGCGACGGGGCCTCGGGGGGGGGGGGGGGTGCCCCTGAGCCCTCGACCGCTGAGCGCAGGCAACAGAGCCAAGGACCGGGGATGCTTCCTGGGCGGCGCCAACCCCAGCGACAGGCTGAAGCAGCGCAGGAGCCCGCGGAGAACAAAGGGGTGCCACAGGCCAACCTGCTGAGATTCCAGGACGGGAAGGAAGAAACAATAGAAGTTCTCAATGTGAAGAAATCAAGTGAGAGCAAATGATAGTAAAATTACTTAAGAAAGATTGCAAAGAATATCTTGAAAAATCAAAGACTAAGTCAGAACTCAACTCACCAGCCAACATTGCAACATAAATGCGTTTAAAAAAAAAAAAGAAAGTAAGAAAGAAAGAAAAAGGGACAGAATGTTGGAACAGCGGCGACCAGACCTAGAGTGGCCAGGCACAAGGCAGTGGCAGCCGGACCCGGAGCAGCAGCGGCCAGGCCCCAGAGCAGCAGCGGCCAGAACCAGAGCATCAACGGCCAGCACTGGAGCAGCCAGACCTGGGGCAGGGGCAGCCAGGCTTGAGGCAGAGGCGGCCAAGCCCAGGGTGGCCAGTCCAGGAACACCCAGACCCGGAGTGGCCGGGCCCGAAGAAGCCAGGCCCAGAGCAGCCGGGTTGGGAGCAGCCAGGCCCAGAACAGCAGAAGCCAAGCCCAAAGCATCCAGCCCAGGTGCAGCCAGGCTCGGAGCAGCCGGGCCTGGGGCAATTGGGTCCAGAGCAGCCGGGTCTGGTGCGGCCAGGCCCGGAGCAGTGGCTGCCAGGCTGGGAGCGGCCAGGCCCGGAGCAACCGGGCCTGGTGCGGCCAGGCCCGGAGCAGCGGCTGACAGGCTGGGAGCAGCCAGGCCCGGAGTGGCCGGGCCCGGAGCAATCGGGCCCAGAGCAGCCGGGTCGGGTGTGGCCAGGCCTGTAGCAGTAACAGCCAAGTCCAGAGCAACAAGGTGGGGAGTGGCAGTGACCAGACCCGGAGCAGCGACTGCCAGGCTGGGAGCGGCCAGGCCCGGAGCAGCCGGGTCTGGTGCGGCCAGGCCCGGAGCAGTGGCTGCCAGGCTGGGAGTGGCCAGGCTCGGAGCAGCGGCTGCCAGGCTGGGAGCGGCCAGGCCCGGAGCAGCCGGGTCTGGTGCGGCCAGGCCAGGAGCAGCGGCTGACAGGCTGGGAGCAGCCAGGCCCGGAGTGGCCGGGCCCGGAGCAACCGGGCCCAGAGCAGCCGGGTCGGGTGTGGCCAGGTCTGTAGCAGCAACAGCCAAGTCCAGAGCAACTAGGTCGGGAGTGGCAGTGACCAGACCCGGAGCAGCAACTGCCAGGCTGGGAGCGGCCAGGCCCGGAGCAGCCGGGTCTGGTGCGGCCAGGCCCGGAGCAGTGGCTGCCAGGCTGGGAGTGGCCAGGCTCGGAGCAGCGGCTGTCAGGCTGGGAGCAGCCAGGCCCGGAGTGGCCGGGCCCGGAGCAACCGGGCCCAGAGCAGCCAGGTCGGGTGTGGCCAGGCCTGTAGCAGTAACAGCCAAGTCCAGTGCAACTAGGTGGGGAGTGGCAGTGACCAGACCCGGAGCAGCGACTGCCAGGCTGGGAGCGGCCAGGCCCGGAGCAGCCGGGTTTGGTGCGGCCAGGCCCGGAGCAGTGGCTGCCAGGCTGGGAGTGGCCAGGCTCGGAGCAGCGGCTGCCAGGCTGGGAGCGGCCAGGCCCGGAGCAGCCGGGTCTGGTGCGGCCAGGCCAGGAGCAGCGGCTGACAGGCTGGGAGCAGCCAGGCCCGGAGTGGCCGGGCCCGGAGCAACCGGGCCCAGAGCAGCCGGGTCGGGTGTGGCCAGGTCTGTAGCAGCAACAGCCAAGTCCAGAGCAACTAGGTCGGGAGTGGCAGTGACCAGACCCGGAGCAGCAACTGCCAGGCTGGGAGCGGCCAGGCCCGGAGCAGCCGGGTCTGGTGCGGCCAGGCCCGGAGCAGTGGCTGCCAGGCTGGGAGTGGCCAGGCTCGGAGCAGCGGCTGACAGGCTGGGAGCAGCCAGGCCCGGAGTGGCCGGGCCCGGAGCAACCGGGCCCAGAGCAGCTGGGTCAGGTGTGGCCAGGCCTGTAGCAACAACAGTCAGGTCCAGAGCAACTAGGTCAGGAGCGGCAGTGAACAGACCCGGAGCAGCGACTGCCATGCTGGAAGCGGCCAGGCCCGGAACAGCCGGGTCTGGTGTGGCCAGGCCCAGAGCAGAGGCTGCCAGGCTGGGAGCGGCCAGGCCCGGAGCAGCCGGGTCTGGTGCGGCCAGGCCAGGAGCAGCAACTGACAGGCTGGGAGCAGCCAGGCCCGGAGTGGCCGGGCCCGGAGCAACCGGGCCCAGAGCAGCCGGGTCGGGTGTGGCCAGGTCTGTAGCAGCAACAGCCAAGTCCAGAGCAACTAGGTGGGGAGTGGCAGTGACCAGACCCAGAGCAGCAACTGCCAGGCTGGGAGCGGCCAGGCCTGGAACAGCCGGGTCTGGTGTGGCCAGGCCCAGAGCAGTGGCTGCCAGACTGGGAGCGGCCAGGCTTGGAGCAGCGGCTGCCAGGCTGGGAGCGGCCAGGCCCGGAGCAGCTGGGTCCGGTGCGGCCAGGCCCGGAGAAGCGGCTGTCAGGCTGGGAGCAGCCAGGCCCGGAGCGGCCGGGCCTGGAGCAATTGGGCCCAGAGCAGCCGAGTCGGGTGTGGCCAGGCCTGTAGCAGCAACAGCCAAGTCCAGAGCAACTGGGTCAGGAGCGGCAGTGACCAGACACGGAGCAGCTGGTTGTGGAACAAACCAGAGCAACAGAGGCCAGGCCCGGAGCAGCCTGGCCCAAAACAGCTCGCCCCTCACCTGCCCCTGCCCCACGGCTGCCTCTCAGACATGGCTGGAAACTTTTGCGGGAACTTGAGGGTCTGCTGAATCAAGTAATGAAGGCTTAGATCTGGATGTGTTGAGTTAGTATAGCGCTGGGGTGTTGATCTGTGAGTGCCTTGGGTGGGGCCTGGATGAGGCTGGTTGACCTATTTGGAAATGTCTTTTGTGTGAAGTGTATCATTGGGCATATGGAGGTATTATTGATATGAGAAAATGCTAAGTAACAGATTTGCTATCTGAAAAGGGATTTACTATCGGGGAAAGGGAGGGAGGAAGAGACTGAACATATACTGTGCACCAATGGATGAGGATGAGGGGGCAGAGGGTGGGGTGGGAACCTGGTGGAGGGGGGAAGAAACGAGGAACCTGTGTAATAATATGAACAATAAAGATTGATTTAAAAAAAAAAGAAAAAAAAAAAGAATATAATTTCAGTAGATAGAGAGAAAGCCTGTGACACAACTCAACAATCATTCATGATAAAAATAAACTTTCGTTAAACCTGGAAAAGGAATGTCCTCAACATGGTAACAGGCATCTATGTAAAAACTATAGCTAACATCACACTTAACAGTGAGATACAGAACGCTTTCCCTCTAAGATGGGGAGCAGGCACTGAGGCCTGCTGTCATGCCTCCAATGCTCTACAGCACATGTGTCAAACACAAGGCCCGCGGGCCAAATCCGTCCCGCCAGGCCTTGCAATGTGGCCTGCACCGCGCTGTCATCACTGCACTCTGCGGCGTTTCCATCACAATGACAGTTTATGACTGTTCAGTAAACCATTCGGCCCGCGATTTAGGCTGGATTTTAGATTTTGGCCCCTTCTCTGATTGAGTTCGACACCCCTACAGGAAGTGCTAGCCAATGACATAAAGCAAGGGAAGCACCATGCTCACAGACTGCAGTGCTCTGCACTGCTAAGATGCCAATTCTCCCTAACTTCATCTACAGACTCCCAGTAATACCAGCAGGCGGGCTTTTTTTGTTTTTGTGTGTATGTGTGTGTATGGATCCTCACCTAAGAATGTTTTTTACTGATTCTAGAGAGCGGAGAAGTGGGTGCAGGGAGAGAGAGAAACACTGATATGACAGAAAAACATTGATTGGTTGCCTCGTATACATGTCCCGATGGGAATGGGGCCTGCAACACTATGTCACACTGGCCAGGGCCCATCAGGCTTTTTATTTAAGTCACCAAGAGACTGTGGCACAAGAGATAGACGAGCAGAACAATGGAACAAAATAGAGTGTAGCAACAGATGCACACTTAAGGCAGTAAAACAATTTTGTGACAAAAAGAAAGGCTTTTCAATACGGCACAACTGACAGTATTTGCAGACATTATTATGTGCATAGAAAAAATCCTGACAAATGTACAAAAAGGCTCCTAGAACTAATAAGTGAATCTTATAGGATAAAAGGTCAATATATAAAAATCAATTGTGTTTTGTATACTAATGATGAGTACTTGGAAAATGAAATAAACCACAGCTTTCGCAATAGCATTTTTCTGTCCGTAATTAGAAAATGAGGTGAAATGTGGAGAAAAAATGTCTCACGTATTAGCTGCACTTAATAAAAATCTATCCACTTACTAATCATACACTGTGATTTTACTAGTCCATAAGCGGAGAGATGACCATTATAAGGAAAAATCAATATTTGCCTGCATTAATAGTATTTAAGAAATCAGGTCTATCATGTGAGATAAATATAAAATAACTACACAGTCTTTGGCAAATTTTCCTTCTAAGAGTATGTCCTATGAAGAAACTTATTTTCCCGTTTTATGAAGGAATTTAGTGAGCAATATTGACTATTACATGTAAAAACGGTATTAATTGGATTGTCTTTTACCCAAAATAGTACTAGTTAAAGAAACAAAGTATATAGTTCTGTTCTTTCCCACCTGTGCAAACAAAAACAAAAACAACCTCCACCATATAATTTCACTTATATCTATAATCTAACGAACTCAATAAACTAACAAATACAACAGAAACAGACTCATAGGTACGAGAACAGACCGAGAGGGGGTTGGGAGGCTGGGTGAAAAAGGTGAAGGGACTAACCAAAACAAACGAACAAAAACCCATAGACAATGTGGTGGTTACCAGAGGAAAAGGGGGTGAAGGGAGGTAGAAGAGAGTAAAGGGGGGAAATGGTGACGGAGGACTTGATGTGGGGAACATATAACACAATATACAGATGGTGTATTGCAGAAACCTATAATTCTATTAACCAATGTCACCCCAATCAATTCAATTTTTAAAAAAGAAAAACAACAAAAACACACAACCCCTCCCCCAAGACAACAAAAACCAAACAAGCTGGTAGAATCCCGCAGTCAGAGTGAACAGACCATACGTGGGGTCCTCACTCCTCTCTCACAGAGCAGGGGGGCGCCCCTGCAGTCTTTTTTTAACTGGCAGGAAAATGCCAGTTAAATGTCTTCCGTTTTAATTTTTACTTCTTAAAGCACAGATACAGAGAGTCTTGTAGAATTTTGGGGTAAGTACATGAAGCTGTACTCCCACCAACAGGCCATGCAGGAGCCCTGTGGTACTCTCCTCTGAGAGAGAAGACGGCCACCGGGCAGGAGTGGTGCCGGGCCGCCTTCACTCATGGTCCAGGCTGCGTCTCTCCCTGACAACGTGCCCATAATGCAGCCCGGCCACACATTCAGTGAAAGCCACAGAACATCTAGGCAACAAGGACACACATGGAAGCCCGCTTCCCGGAATTCCTGAAAACTGAGTAAAGACGAGACTGCCTTTCATTTTCCCGAGGCTTCTCCCTTCAGGCTCCAAACATGTGACTGATTTACACAGCGTTCCCTGCACATTATATGTATTTGGAAAAATCAACCACCAGCATCAGCCCTGTACCAACCCCCAGCCCCCCCCCCCCCAACCCCCCTCCCCCACCAAATCTTAAAAGCATACACAACCAACCCCTATCCACATGCACAGACCACAGCTCCAATCAGACAAGGGTTCTGGTACTTACCATGGGTGATTTATAATATCTATGTAGTATATTTATGAAATCTGTAATTGTTAGCATTCCTGGAACAAAGAATTGTATGTTAAATGGGAAACAATTAAAACACAAAGAAATTGCAAATGACGGGCAAACCTGGAATAGTTACTAGAACAGCTTCTAAAGTACACGTATCAAGCACAGTTTAATATATTATTTAAAGCTATTAATCTGTTAATTATCTACAGCGAACTAAGATACACATATTTAGCTGAAATTTAACTCGACAGTAACTGGAATTAATCACAGTACTTGGCAATTCAAGGAGAGAAAAATTAATGATTGTTACAGAACATCACAAAAGACTTACAGTGACATGCAAATAATTCTAAACACTTTAGAACAAGATCAAGCATTCCAGCAGGACACTGCTGGGCACTAGATTGTGCAGGCAGGGCCACCACTGTCCGCCATGGCTCCCAGGATGTGGAGTTTTGCAGGTTAGAGAGCGTAAGTTACACCGTGTTTTAATGGTATAGCAATGACTGGAGAAGGCATGGACCGCTTTTATGCTTCCTTTGCCCTGTCAGGAGGTGTTCACCCTGGAGGAAGCCGGGAGGGGCCACAGGTGAGTGACCGTGAGCACAGGCTGACAGACAGACGCCTGACCTCAGCCTCCCCCTCACACTCTGGTCCCTGGGCTCACAGGGACTAGCACACACGATCCCACAGGGACAATAGGATGCTGAATCAAAGGAAACTCAGTCAAAGTAGGGAAGTGATTTTGAATGACTAGCGGCCCTCCCTTACCCGGATATAAAAGCAAGAATGTTCTTTAGTTTGGTTACATGTTTACTAGAGTGAATTCCAATCAGCATCCATTAAAATGCCTCGGGCTTTCTGCTTTGTTGCAGATTTTCTTGGGGGGTGGGGGTGGGGACTGCTTACCTACAAAACTCTGTTTCTTACTTTCCCACAGTGGCGCTGCTCGAACACCATTGGCTACTAAGGCAAAGAAGGCCTTTTTAACCTGAGGACAAATAAGAGAAACAACACATACTTTTAAACTCCAGGTTAGGAAGAAAAATACCGACAATGAAAATATTCAACCAAATCTTATCAGTTATCTTCAACATTACTTTTTCTAAGTTTGAAAAACAAGAAAGAACCGAATTTATCAATATTAGCAAAAACGCTTTTGTATTATATTTGAAGGCAGATAGGAGTTGGAGATTATTTTTTTGAAAATGAAACAATTAACTTCAAACTATTTTTTTCTTATTGCATCTAAAGTCTGGATTGCGAGAGGGTGCAGGCCAGGCTGAGGGATCCTACTGGTGCACGAATCCATGCACTGGGTCTCCACCATCTCCTGATGGGTCTGGGGTGTGGGTGAAGCCCATTCAGGGCCAATAGTGCCCCAGCAGCAACCTAACCCATGGCCAATTCGGAGAAAAATCAGGTTCCCTCCTCCACTGATCAGAGCTTCTGCCCCCTGGTGGTCATTGTACATCATAGCTACCAGGCTTTTTATACACACACACACACACACACACACACACACACACACACACACACACGATGCTCCTTCAAGTTCAAATGGACTAATCTTCCACTCTACCGATTAAAACCAATTCACCTTAACTTTTGACTCCACAACAAAACCTGCCCACACCACTGCAGTGAAAGCTGAGACCCCTCCCCTGCCTCCAGGGTATCTAATCAATCCTCTTTCTGTGCTGAGGAGTGTCCCTCATGACTCCTTAGGCTTAAAAGCGGCAGAGTAAAAGTACTCTAACCACTTTCCCCCTGAAAAGTTATCCCCAAACTGCACGGAGGACAGACTAGAAGCAGATTAAGCAAGGAGATCATCAGGACACAAAGCAGACGGAGAGGCGAGTCTCAGGAGGGAGAGCCTTGCTGGGAGGGACGGGGAGCCTGGTGTCGGGAGAAGCAGTCTGATCTCTCCTGGACACAGAACACCAAGCCTGGAGGCTCTGGATGGGCCCCCAGGAGCGGGGACAGGTCTCAAAGCAAACAGGACGACTTTCAAATCTGGTCACACCACAGCCCCTGGCATCACCATCCAGAGGCTATTTTCTGGAGAAACTGCTCCAGAAACATACTGACAGGAACACCTGGGGGCTGGCTCCTCCTCTTCCGTGGAGCCCCGAGCGAGGAGCCAGCCTGCAACGAAGCGCCATCTCACACTGTTGGTGTCCACTTGGTCACACCACCTTGAACGCTTAACACAGTGCAGGCCAGCAGTTCCATGGCTGGCTTTACCCAGTGACCAAGTACGTTTCTACTGAACGAGCACAAAATACGTTGTACATTGCATTTTGAAGTCATTTATCACATGTTCTTACAAGCTAATGTCTTTTTAAAGAAGTCTCGTGATTGGCCACAGCCTTAAGAGTACAAGAATTCTTGTGATCCGACTGCAATGTGTTAGGTTGCAGAAGCCGGGCTCATGGCTGGCGAGCACAGTGGCAGTGGTGGGAGCCTCTTCCACCTCCAGGCAATGCTATGGATGTCGGACTGAGCCATCAGTCGGACATCCTCCCAGGACTCCTGAACTGCTAGAGGGCACAGGCCAGGCTGAGGGACCCACCCTAGTGCACGAATTTCATGCATCGGGCCTCTAGTCACATATATAAAAGATGGAGATAAAAAAAGAAACACAGCTTTCCCTTCAGTAGCACTGGCAGCTAGAGGCAATGGAAGGATGCCTTCACAATTCTAAATGAAAGCGACTTTTATTCTGGAATGCCATGGTTCCATATTCCCAGCAGTCTGCGAGCTGAGTAGATGGGCCATGTGTCCATCCTCATCACCCTCCAGCGCTCAGCCCTGTCTCATTCTTTTCCGGAGTACTGAGAGGCTCTCCCCTCATCTACTTAGTGACGGGTCCTAAGAATGTTTAGCTTGTTGAGGAATCTTTCTGAATATTATTATCAGCTATTTTCCTGGTTTCAAGTCATTTGTTAACCAGATGGCCCTACAGTAAAAGAATCCTGTGGGGTCTGACAGGTGCCTGAGCCCGGGTCCCGGGAGGCAGAGCCTGGCCTGCACAGTTTGTTGGGAACATGATTCCAGGGCGAGGTGTGGAGGGTGGGAGGGCTGAAATAGGCCAGGAGGTGGGTCAGGATGGGGTAACTGCAAGTGTGGGCAGACTGACACTCACTACATTCAGATCTTCTCAGGACTGCCCATTCTGAGGGTGCCAGGGAGTGTTTATCCACTGACTTGTGTCCTCCATTGGCGAAGGAAGCCGGAGGCGCCTGTGCGGGGCTGAGGCTGGTGGCGGATGGAGGAACAGGTGATGGAAATGGCCCACAAGAGGCCCTGATACGACCAGAAACCTCAATCCAGGCTGGTGGAGGTTTAATCAACATCCTCTTCAGGCCCAGGTGAGCGTTAATGCACTCCCTGAGTGGCAGAGTCTGCCTCTCATCACTCGGACATGTTTACATTTTCTGCTAAAAGAGATCAATAGCCGAAACCGGTTTGGCTCAATGGATAAGAGCGTCGGCTTGGGGACTGAAGGGTCCCGGGTTCGATTCTGGTCAAGGACATGTACCTTGGTTGCGGGCATATCCCCAGTAGGAGGTGTGCAAGAGGCAGCTGATTGATGACTCTCTCTCTCATCGATGTTTCTAACTCTCTCTCTTTCTCCCTTCCTCTCTGTACAAAATCAATAAAAAATATATTTAAGAAAAATAAAAAATAAAAGAGATTAATAAAGTTCTCAGGAGGTTATCCACTATAGTATTTTTTTTCTTTTTCATCTGTATTATTTCAAATGAACGGTGACATGTTCTCCTAAAAAACAAGCAAAACACCTGCACACACCGAGGGAAGTGTGCACACCACAGAGACTACGGCAGACCCCATCCCCATCCACTCTGGGCCAAGATCCTAAATCCTAATCCTCTGGTGTCAGCTGGTGAGTTAAGCTCTTTAACTCAGAACCTGAGCTCCCTTCTCCGCAGGAAGAGGACAGGGCGGCACGTTCCCCGTAGGCTGCCGTGAAGACGGGAGCTCAGACCAAACCCCTGCACAGCGCCCGGAGCGCCGGGAGGCCCCGGAATGAAACGACTCCCCGAGGTCTTCGCCCCAACAACACACCACGTCACGGAAACCGGCACACTTACCTGTAACGTAGTATCGAAGACCACGAGCTTGGAACTGGTTGGGACGATGTCGTAACACTTGTGTGACCTCATGAATCGCATGTAAACGCCACTTTCTGAGTCTTCTGCTAAGAAGGAACGAAAAAAGGGCAAATATCAGCGATAACAAAGACTCCCATGCAGAGTCGGCATGGAAACCCCTGCGGATGGACTTGGTGGAAAGCATGGTGGTGTCCCTGTGCGGGTCCCGGGAAGACATGGATGTTCACTCCGCCAGCACCACGCCGGGCCGGACGGCCTCACAGCCACACAAAGACAAGAAAAGCACAAAGCAAAACTACTTTCATTTGCAGTCTCTCTGATTTTCTACAGAGAAAATACCAAAGACCCTACAGAAAAGTTCCCAGATATTTAATAAAAAGAGTTGAGCAAAGTCACAGGAGGCAGAGTTCATAAAGAACACACTATCCCTCATATTTCTACACACTGGCAGTGAACAACTGAAAATTAATTTCACCTCACACACGAGTACTGTTTATGAAAAAGTCATATGGAAATATGGCCCCCACAAAAGCACTGAAAACCGTGGACAAATGTACATCTTTCTTATTGAGTCACTGTGCAGCCACCATCCGCCCCAAACATCCCGACGCCCGCGCGGGCCTTCCCCCCGCGCCACCCCGCTGGACACCGCCAGCCGCACACCTCGCCCGTCAGCTCTGGTCGCCCACGTTTAAAATCAGACTTGCTGGTGACACCTCTGGGTTTGTAAAGAACATTTGCCAATATCGCAGTGCACATGGAAGAAATGGGGATGGTTTCCGTTTTGGACGCATGGCAGTTAACTGACAAAAGGGACGCCAGCGCACTGTGGGGGTTTACGGCAGGTTCATTAGTGAAGTGAGTGGACCGCACCCGGCCAGTGATACAGCAACCCAGGCAGCATCCTCGTTACATCCTCCTTCCCTTCACCAACTTATCACCCAAACCTCAATCTCTCTTTTATAAATCCTCGCCCGAGGATACTTTCCCATTGATTTTTAGAGAGAGCGGGAGAGGGAGGGAAAGACAGAAACAGATGGGAGAGAAACACATTGATTGGTTGCCTCCAACACGCGCCCTGACCTGGGTCTGGGCTGAGGAGGAACCTGCAACCCAACCGAGGTACGTGCCCTTGACCAGAACCGAACGCGGGACCTTTTGGTCCACAGGCTCTATCCACTGAGCCACATCAGCCAGGGCTATTGCGCAATCCTTCCTTAAATCTATCTGCTCCTCTACCTCCATGGCCACTGCGCTCAGCCTGATAGAAATACCCTGACTTCCTAACTGGTCCCTGCTTTCCACCGTGTTCCCCCACCCCGGTCCGTGCAGGGTGGGAAGACTGAGATGGCCACGTGAAACCAACCCCAGTTCCTTGGCTGGAAGGACCCATGTTGTTCTTCTATTTCCTACGTGAGAAAGGGTGCGTACTGACTGTCAACTTCATGTCAACTACGTGGACCTCTGCCACGCCCATTCCCAGTTCTGACCTCCCTTCCGGGCACTAGCACCCTAACTGCTTCATTCTCAGCAGCCCCTGGACAGGCCCCTCCTCACCCATCTCCCCTCCTGCTCAAGCATCGAGTCCCGCGTCGTGGGCCATGCCTGGGAGCCTCAGTGATCTGGCTTCCCTGTACCCTGTTTCCCCACGGCCCGTCCCCAGGGCCAGGCCAACAGCGCCCTCCTGGGTCCCCTGCTGTTCGCCATCGCTCCATCTGCTTTAACTTAAATATCCTTCTCTGCCGTTTATTCTTCAGTTTCCTTTCCTGGATCTTACTCATCTAGCACATTAACTCAGTCAATTGCTCTTTATTCACAGGGTCTTCGTGTGCGCTCTCCCAAAGCGGACCCCAAGGCCGGGGGGAGTGGGCTGGGGAAGGAAACAGACTGGGGCGTGCTGGTGAGCAGGTGGCAGCTCCGTGCAGTGAGGTCCAGGCGGCGGGAGACCTGTCCCCCGGACTGTGCGTGGACTTCAGACTGTCCTGTCGTAAGAATCACGCCTGCCTGCTTTGGCTAGGAGGCTGCCATGGAATGGCCCAGGCAGAGATAACTGGATGAAATAGGAGAACTGGATGCAGGCAAGGCCTTGCTACCATCACTTCTGCTTCGCTAGAGGCCAGGTCCCCTCTGGCTGACGCCCAAATGGAGGAGACATCAACTGTTACAACAGCACCACGGGCACGACTCAGGAGAGTGCAGGGTTTATGCATGAACTAGGGGCCCAGTGCACAAATTTGTGCACGGGTGGGGTCCAGCCAGCCACCTTGATGGGGGCTGATCAGGCTGGGCCAGCAGTGGGAGAGGAGTGGAGGGGGAGAGGAGGGAAAAGGGACGTGGGAGATTGGTGGGGTGGGGGCTGATCAGAGCCTCGATTGTGCCGATTGGCCTCTGCAGTCCGCATCATAGTGACTGGTTGCTTGGCAGTTGGAAAATGGGCGATGAAGGTTCAGTTTGTGTGTTTCCATGTTCCCTGAAACACTGATCTATGGGAAAACCGGAGTCTTGCACAGGGAACTGAAGCACAGCAGCTCTCAGGACAGCTGCTCAGACAGTCTGACCGTCTCTGCGCTGCGCCGTGAGATGTGCCGTTTCCTTGCCGCCTGCTCAGTGGGGATTTCTCAGACAGAGATCGCTGCAGTCACGCATCCTCTTAGCTAGTGTTCAGGTTACACACTGCCGGCCAAATCCTTATCCTGAAGTTCAAATGAATGAAATCAAGAGGAAAACTAACTATACAAAAATGTAATAATCCATCATCCAGAAAGGACACCTTAGTTCCTCTGTTGACTTTTGAAAAATATTTAAATAAACATTTTATTTTAAACAACTTTAGATTTAGAGAAAAGCTGTGATAATGAAACGGTTCCTGGTACACCCCACACCCCTCACCAGGTTCCCCCTGAAGTTAACATCTGATATTACTGTGGCACATTAATCACAACTAACGGACAACACTGACACATTATTATTTGAGTTCACACTTTGTTGGATTTTCTTAATTTCCCTCATGCCCTTTATCTGATCCAGGGTCCCCAATGGGAGGGCATAGTTAGTCATCAGCTCCTTGTTCCCCCAGATGGTCACAGCTGTCAGACCTTGTTTTTGATGACCTTGACCGTTCAGAGGGGTCCTGGGCACAGTCTATAGCATGGATCTATGATCTCAACTTCGGGGCTGTGTGTTGGGAGGGAGACTACAGGTAAACACCCCTCCTCCCACTACATCCAGGGCGCATCTGCTGCCAACATGGCCCAGGGAGAAGCTGTCCCCACTGCACTCTCCCTCCTTCCATGAGGAGGTGTCCGCTGTCTGCCTCCGTGTGGACCCAGGACGTTATTCCCTCCCTTGAGCGGGAACCCAGCGCTGCGTCAGGACTGGTCAGAGGCTGTGCGAACCCGGCGGGCCATTCCCCTCCTCTATGGTCTGGGTGTCTGTGTGGAGCCACTCCAGGTTCTTCCACGTCTGCCCTGGTTTTGGCTTCTCCCCCGTCCTCCCCGGGAACTCCCCCGCTCATCCCTGCAGCCTCCACCTCAGCAGGGACCTATTGGGGGCGGGTCCTCTGTGTGTGTGTCCTCAGGAAGAGTGGTGAGGGAGTGGGGCTCCCGGGTTCTTTCTGAACATCCACCTGCTCCCACCAGCCCCCAACGGCGAGAGCCAGGTCTCCTCCATCACTGATGGCTTTCATTTGTTAGAAGTAATGGACCGGCAAAATAATAGCGGACTAATCATTAACAGAAATCCATTCATTTCTCAGATTTCCTTAGTGTTTAATCTCTCCGGGACAGCACGTGGCGTCCAGCCGCGTCTCCCGGACACGCCTCGTGGCTGAGCCTCTCTCACAGGCCTCCCTGTGTGGCGGCTGGGGTCCTCGTGGAGGGCTGGCGGGCCCCGGGAGACCCCCTCGGCCCGTGGCTGATGTTTTTCTCAGGGTTAGATTGGGGTTCTGGGGCTTGAGGAGGTTGTACAATACTTTTCTTAGATGTGGAAAGCTTGGCTCAACAAAGCAAAAGCAAAATGTTAAATATGTAAAACAAATTACAACAAAATTTACTTTGGTTCTCCCTATGAATACATGGCTATTGATGTAATAAAACAACATCGGTAACAAAAGTGCCAACACTTAAGTTAGGAAGAGAAAGTGAACTGTTCTAAAATGTCAGTGCTTCTCCACACACAGCGTAGCTTCTGACGTTAGCCAGCTGCGTCTGTGCTGTTTACATTGTGTGAAGCCCTTGTGAGTCAAGGCTGGGGACACACACGTTCACTTGAGAGGCAAAAACACAGAAACAGTGAAAACTGGAGTGTTCTGGAGTTCAGCCAAAAAGAAAAAACAACAAAACCTTTCAACAATAACGGGCTGTTTGGAATGCATTATAACATTCCTGAGCAGGCATGAAGTTCACGTTCTCATTATTCAGCAGGTAACTGGGGTTAAGATAGTATCACAACGTTCCATTCTTTGTTATTTTATAGCTCACTGGGTAGAAGCATAATTATAGAGTATTCTATTGGCACCTGAGTTACTGGTCCACCAGACACGGCTGTTTGTGGAATGACATGAAATCTCACTGCCCTTCCAATAATAATATGCTAATCCAACAGCATTGTTCAAGGGAGCTGCTACAGAGTGCCTTTGAGAAGCAGAAAATATGAGCTAAAGTATTTAATTTGCAAAGGTTAACAAAACAATTTGAAAATGCCACACCTAAGTTTAAATGCAAGCAATTAATACACATGTTTCTTTCTAAAAGATCTGACTATATACCACCCTTGGCTCAATAATTCATGACAGGTCCCACTACAACTCCCCCCCCCCCCCAGCCCAACACACACACACACACACACACACACACACACACACACACGTTTCTAGAAATCAAACTCTAACCCATCACATCCCCTGGGACCCTTACCATCCATACTTCCTTTGGGAACGTGATCCTTGTTTCCGTGCTGCTTTGTCACGCTAGTCTCTCCCCAGCACGGCGCCTTCCCATCCCTCTTGCCTTCCTGCAGTGGGATGAAGAGCTATCTCCTCCGGCATGTCGGAAGGAGACCTTATTTGGAAAAGTAAGGATCTTGAGAT